TATGATTAGTTCGACACTTTCTAAGACATCATAATTTGCCGAGTACGTGACGTAAATTTGAAGTCGTCTTCCTACCAATAGTTTTTTTGGATAAAACCAGTTGTGAGTGCGGTCGACTAGTTCCCTGATTGGTCTTCCAACTGGTAGGTCGACTGGTTGGCCGACTGGTGATTACATGCGGTTTCATCTGTCAATTAGAATCCATTCAATCATTGTTTGCTAATTCATTCAACGTATCGGATGTCTGATTGATGTTTGAGTTAAGCTGTGAAAAAATACAAAGGTGTACCCAATTATATTCTTAATTAATGTTGTGGTTTCCAACTAAAGTTTCACGCGCCCGATGCTAGCGGCACTTGCGCCGTGCGCGCTCGATCGTAACTGCTGCCCGTTTGAAGTCCGCGTAGCTAAAGATTTCTTTTTTTTCTTTTGTAATTACCTTTAGCATACAAAAGGTTGCAAAAACAAAATTTACTCTCTGAACTTAAATAACTCATAGTAATTTACAATAACGTTAGGAGTAGCTACTATCAATAAAAGATATAAATATTTTAGAGAGCTAAAATAAAATAAAAATATATATTAAGAAGATGTTAAATGATTAATATCTATAGTATTCCGGTACATAAGTTCATAATAAATCGTATGAATATTAAATATGTATAGACAATTTAGACAGAAACAGTTATTAGTCAGTGCAAATAAACGCTAACGTCGTTGATTTCACAATTTCAATACAGAGAAATCCCTTAAAAAATTTTCTTATCTAAAACTGTTGCTTTAACGAGATAAAACAACGGTCCGCGGCGGCCGGCGATACATCACTTTTGCCCGATTTCACCAACAACCTATAAGCTACTACCTACGTATGGGATCCCTAGCTTAAAAGTCCCCTAAACTAGCCCCTAATTTAAGGGGCCTTTTAATATTTAGGTGACCCCTAACTGTCGGTGAAACAGAAACTGTCCCCTAACAGCCCCCTAACCATGCTTAGGGGATCCCTTAAACTTAGATGACGTTGGTGTAATCGGGTATTTATCTACTGTATTGTAGTTTATGCGACAATCGAACACATAATTGCCAGCAAAGTAGTTATTACTGTTGAAACTTGATACTGATTTATTGGTGTTGCTAGGAACTAAAACATTTTCGACACTTACAAACTGGAAATCGTATTGAGGCATTGAAACTTAAATATTTCGTTATTGTCAAATATTGATTTTAATTCAGTTTTGAACGTTTTTTTTTATTGTTTTTGCTAAGTCCGGTTATTTTATTTTATATTTTAAGAAATGAACTATTCTTACGGCTTAGTGTTTCTAATTAGAAAATTATCTTTGAACGGCCAAATTGATTATGTCTTTTATTTACGTTTCGGTTCATATTTGACCGTTATCAGTGAGACAGTAGCTAACGGCAGTTTTAAACTAGACACGACTTAGTCGAAGTAGTTTAGTTTTTTACGACCACTCAAAAAGTTTTTAGTCCACCATCTTGACAGAGTCACTACCACAGAAACCTTCCATACTTGGCTTAATAAAATTTTTATAGCTTATAAAATTATAACATATTAGCAGACCCGCGGCTTCGCTCGCGCTAAAACCACAAAGATATCTCAAAAAGGTACCTAGGTTTTATACAAATTTTTATCCTCTATTTTACCCCCTATAGGTTGAATTTATAACAACGCTAAAACACATATTTATTAATTTGTTCTGTAGAGTAGGTATTTATACCAAGTTTCAAGTAATTCTGATCACAAATATTTTTTGGTTTATATTATAAGGTGCTTTCCCGTGGAAATAAAATAATCTCCCGCGGTAAACAGTAGCCTATGTCACTCTCCAGCCCTCCAACTATCATTACACAAAAAATCACGGCAATCCGTCACTTTGTTTCGACGTTATAGAAGGACAAATAGACAAATAAACAAACACACTTTCACATTTATAATATTAGTATGGACTTAGCACATACGAACTTTACTGCAGTAGTAAATGTAACGGGACGTTTCGATAACGACATGCGATTAAAACAATGAGGTTAGACAGTGTTCGCTCAATCGAAGATATTTTTGTATTTTTTGGCTAAGCAGATATCAACTTGTGTTATCTTAGATGTCAGTTGGTAAATTGAATATAGCTTATAACTTGTCGATATTCCGCTTTATTAATTCCGCTTAAATTTTTTTAATTATAAATCGTGTTTGTTTGTTCAGTTGCTTGCTAAAGGGATAAATAACTGGATATAACTTTTAAAATTAAGTTATTAATAAAAAAAATATAAAGATCAGTTTTTTATTTTTTTTTTAAATACTTATAATATTATGTAACATCTGGTAAAAGTTATAAAAATTTATGGGGAGCATCCAAAAGTTAGTGATGTAAAGTAGTCATGAGTACTGAACATCGCAGTACAGACGCGGACACGCGGCAGATGTACACGGTCTTCTACAGTAACCGCGAGTAAGTAGTTAATTACATAAAAGCTGTTAACAGAGCGCCGCATGTTTTCTAGTTTTATATATTTTCTTTGATTTCGTTTTCCCATTTACTACAACTTATAGTTGGTGATGTAATTTTTAATTAACTATAATATATACAATGAGTGTAAAACTGTGTGTTGATATATTTCTTATAGTTTATCTATACCTTAGATCTCTAATGAAGATCAATTTCTTCTTAATAAATTTAAATCCCTTATATTAAAAAGTTTAAAAATCTGTGAAAATCTTAGCATAGTATCTTGGCTGAATTAATCTATATATCTAATATTATAAAGAGGTAAAGTTTGTGAATTGTGAGTTTGTGACGTTGTAGGGGGTAATCTCTGAATCTACTGAATCGATTTAGATGAAATTTGGTAAGAAGATAGTTTGAAACCCTGGAAAGGACATAGGATACTTTTTATCCCGGAAATCATGATGATGAAAGTTTGTATGGGGAATCGACCTAGGGGCGAACCCGAGCGAAGCGAGGGTGAGTCGCTAGCTAATTATAAATGTTGATTCTCTTCTCTGGGAACAAGTATTTGCCTTAGTCAATTTTAACTTTTTTCACGAAATAATTTCATCTACTCTCACACTTCATTAGTCTAAATTAAGTAGCCCATTTAGTGAGATAGCCACTTGCCTTCTGTAACCACTTGAGATCGAGTAACCGAGTATTAATTACGGTTCCAAAGTGTTAAAGATTACCATCAGATGTTTTACTTTGATAATTACGTTCGACTCACATATGTACGAGTATTGCCGTATACATATCGCACGCACTCTAATGTTCTCTGTCAGTATGAAGCGCTGGTGACATACTGTAGTTATTAGTTACTAATAGTTTATCATTTTAAAGTAAAGCTAAAAATATTAAAAGAGGTGCAATTTAATAATTTGGTACGGACCACTGCAACTCTTTCCTAACAGTTTTCTTACATAGGAGAAGCGATACAACGGCAGAGACTAGAATAACTAATCTATACATATAATATAATTGTAAATAAGCCGAATCTGTATATTAAATATTTTTTGGAAAATCTTATTGAAATAAATATTATTATCGATACAGAGGCCGAATTTATAGTTTTTAGAATTTTTGTCTGTCTGTCTGTCTGTCTGTCTGTCTGTCTGTTACCGCATCAAAGAAAAACCACTTGAGGGATTTTGATGAAATTTGGTATGGTGATAGCTGTTTGTCCGGTTCAACATATAGAATACTTTTTTCCGCAGGAAAATATCTCAATTCTGAGAAAAAATACAAAAACTGCAATTTAAGAATATACTAATATGTAAAACCTAAGAATTTGGTTTTTGGTCATCTGAACGCGGGTGGAGCTGTAGGCAATGCTAGCGTACAATAATCCATTATTAAAGAACATACATGCTTTTCAAGTGTCAAGTCGACAAATATCAATATAATAAGTTTACATCCTCATGATAACAATGAAGCAAGATCTCAGCGCGAGTTGCTTTCGACGCGGTAATTAATACACCGGTAATCCACGCACTGTATTTTAAAATAACCTCCCCGGATTTAGTTCGTTATACAAAATCGAGTCCAGTTTACAGTTAATGTTATTTTATTACGCAACCGATTTTGAGCGAATTCCAAAACAATTTAAGTTTCTCGTCCCTCCACAGTTTATACGAAACTTCCGGGACCGGATAATTGTGTGATAGAATTATAAAACGATAACAAATTTGGTTCTTTACGCCATCAAAGGTATTTGACTTTCACACTTGGCCTGCGAAGCGAAAATTGTTTGCTTTTTGAACATTTTATCTTTTGTTAAACTAATTATTATTATTTATTTTGGTTGTAGCTGTGATTTAGCAGCTTTGTAAGGTGTTTTCGTTAAGAGCGTGTGAACAACTGGGTTATTTTTATTTATAATTTAAATATACGTGTGTCGACGTACATACGTATATATGTTACATTTCTGATTGACTAATAACTTCTCGAGAGTTTAATAAGAGACAAAGTGTTCAGCAATCATGTTACAAAAAGCGTATCAGTTACATCTTATACCATTTATAGACTGAAATCTATTATTAACATAAACCATTATTTGTTACAGATTCTGAGACGGCGCCCGCGAAACGGATCGCTTGCGGCTAAGTAAGACGAGACGCGTTGCACAGTGGTGCAATACAATGCATTTTCACACGCATACAAATCTCGAACGAATAAAACAACTCACTTGAAGTATAAAGACAATCGAAACTATAATGCACCTATCAAAACGATAGGATAATATATAGATTTATTGAATCCCAGTTCGGGCGCCACTTTTGATACGAAATCTTCATCGGGACAGTTCGACGAGTGAGCAGAGATATAAGACACTGCGTAGACTCCAGACAGGTGTGTTTGCTATGAGCCACGTGTCGCATCAGCCACGTGAGCTGAGCGTGTGAGGTGCGCGAGGTGTGCGTGGGGTGTGAGGCGGGGTGGGTGTCAGCGTGGCATGTGCAGAGGGTGAGGCGTGACGGCGCCCGCGCGGCTGCCATGGGCGCGGCGCGCCTCGCCCCCGCGCCCGCGCCCCCTGCGGCTGCTGCTGGCGGCGCTGGCACTGGCGTCGTGCGCCGCCGCCCCGCCCGAGCGCCCGCAGCGCTCCGCCAACCTGTCCCACATCACAGGCACCTCCCGGACCATACAGATGTTCCTCAAGAACCGCTATCTCCAGCTGATGCCGGATGGCACCGTCAACGGTACCACAGACGTCAACAGCGTTTACAGTGAGTACTTCTCAGTCAGTCTGTTTGTTAGAATAGAATATAACTTTATTTATGATATATAAATAATAATAAACAATGCTAACAGACACGTTAAACAACAAATAATAAAAAGAAGATTAAAAAATTTATCATTCAAAATGATATGCTGTACACAAAAACAACAACCACACAACATCAGCAATCATATAAGGTCATAGTAGGAGTATGTTAGTTCATAATGTAATTTATTTAATTATTTTGTCACCCATTTAATTTCACCATTAAAAAATCTCTCTCTCTCAAAAACTCTTAACTCTTATCTGATAACAATATAAGCGAATTTCAATACCATTAGATACTCTTTTTCAGTGCTATGCGTATGGAGTGCATGAAACAATGGAGAAATGCTCTCTAATAATTCAATTAGAAGAATATAATTAAAACAAAATATAATAAAGCAAAACATTCGATGCATATATGGTTATATAACTGTCGAAGGTGTATATATCGTATAGAAATCACGAAGGTATCTATTACATACGGTCATTGGTGATGTCAATAATCTCGTAATGGTCATTGCGGCTTGCATTTTTCCTAGTATCTGGCTACTGTTTCTCACTATGTTACTGTAAATGCGCAATATTATGTCATTCGATATCGCGTTCCCGGAAATGTTGTGGTGTCTACACTCTACACGCTACACTCGCCGGGACAAGTATACATGGACTATGCATAGATCAATAAAAAAATTGTATCAAATAAAATGTGCTTTTTAAAAATTATTTCAGCATAATATTATCGTTCAGCCATAGTTTCCAAAATATAACATTTTACTATTTAATTTAACAAATATATCTATACTAATCTTATAAAGAGGTAAAGTTTGTGAGTTTGTGACGTTGTAGGAGGTAATCTCTGGATCTACTGAACCGATTTAGATAAAATTTGTTAAGAAGATAGTTTGAGACCTTGGCAAGGACATAGGATTATTATTATTTATGTTGGGTGTGGTGCCGAGGTCGGCCCTAGCTACGTCGACCAGTTTTGGTCCATTGTAGCTCAAGGACATAGGATACTTTAAACCCGGAAATCATCTCTTAAGGGGGTGAAAATGGGGATAAAAGTTTGTATGGGGAATCAATCTAGGGACGAACCCGAGCGAAGCGATGGTGATTCACTAGTTTAATATAAAAACAAAGTGATTTTACGGCTATATAATTTTAAAAAATCACACATAGGCAGTAGGTGGTATAAAACATTTACGAACAAATAAATGAAATCCGTAATGAGATGCGACTGCGACCATCCAACCACTCAAATGTCCGTTATAATTTTAGTGAAATAACGGAGAGAGCATTTTCTAACATAAATTGTACTGTAAGGCTAAAGCTGTTCAAATCGATTTAGACCTGGAAGTTAAAACTATTAATGTCGTTACACATTTAGATAGCGCGTCTGACAGAGCGCAAAAACTTTATACGATTCAATAAATTTAGAAGCAAATCCTTTGAATCGTTCTCAATCTTATTTATATATCGATAAATAAAATTCATGCCGAGTACGCAGAGGTCAAAGAGTTCTATAGTTTCACAATTATTAGGATACTAGGCATTGCCCGCGGCTCCGCCCGCGTCCAGATGACCAAAAACCAAATTCTTAGGTTTTACATATTAGTATACTCTTACATTGCAGTTTTTGTATTTTTTTTCAGAAATGAGACATTTTCCCGCGGTAAAAAGTATCCTATATGTTGATCCGAATAACCAGCTATCACCATACCAAATTTCATAAAAATCCCTCCAGTGGTTTTTCTGTGATGCGGTAACAGACAGACAGACAGACAGACAGACAGACAGACAGACAAAAATTCTAAAAACTATAGATTCGGCCTCTGTATCAATACATAATAATGTTTATTTCAATAAAATTTTCCAAAAAATCTCTAATAATAGATTATACAATTTTCTTATTCTAACATTAACTCTATCTGCACGTTAGAATCGAACTTGTGACATTTGTCAGTGCCGACCGCACCACGTTCTAACGCAGTCGTTCTATGCAAATCATATTCATTTAACATATTATTGTTTCCTAATTAGCATTCATCTTTAATGGCTTGGGCCATTAAAATTTAATAACACAGGAATATTTTAATTTTAATTTATTCATATGTTAGACCATAAACCACCAACCACGTGACGGGCGTTTGTATAAAATATTTACGTTAAAAACCTAAAATGTGTTTCACTAGAAACATTTATGTGGGAACACTTTAGCGTTATATTATAGTATAATTAATTTAAAATATAGCAAATTTAAACATATGCAGGAATTAAGTTTTAGCCACTTACTATGTTGTCTAGTCCAGCGGTTCTCAACTTTTTTTTGCCACGGAACCCTATTTTTTTTTAACAGATCCCCATTTCAGTAATAACTAAACTGATCGTGTTGTAATTAGAATACTTTCTTGTTTGACTTTAAAGAACAAGTCATAAATGAAAAATATTAATACTTACAATAATATTTATTGTACCTAAACTATCACCTATTTAATGTAATAAATGATTTTTTTTCACATATTTATTTATAATATTACTAAAAGTAGGCTTCATGTCTGATTACGTTTTATTTAACTCTTGGTCGGAATTCAGAACCCCTGTGACACTTCCACGGAACCCTAGGGTTCCGCGGTCCACCATTTGGGAACCGCTGGTCTAGTCGGTGGTTATATCGCGGCGCAGACGGTCGCCAGACGACGTTGCGTAATACATTACAGGCTATTCGTGCCGAGTCTTTAAATATATTCAAATTTTAAACAATAAAATTTTCAACTATTTTTATATGAAGTCCTCTCTATATATAATTTAATATTTTTTTATTAATTATCCTTCTTGTATTGAATGAAGGTCTTGGACTTTGCTAAGATTAACAGATAAAAGTTTGATATAAAACAAACCCGCTTCTTTTCCCTCCCATATTTCTATTCTCAATATTTTCTTAAGCCTTAAATTCCTAATCTTTAACGATCATATATAAATCCTTTATATCCTTACATGTCTGTTCAAATATCAGTGTCTCTCCAGTGGTTAGGTTTTGTTCGTTTAAATAGAAAAATAAAATATAAAGGTGATTTTATAAACGAGACCGTCAATTAGCTAATATTATTGCTTTTTATTATACTTTTTTATTTAGAAACAATTATTGTTATTCGCCAATACGTTTCGAATTCGTGCGGGACGCAACATGCGCCGGCGCAGTGACATAAATCATAGCCACAGCACGAAGGTGAACAAAAAACTTAGATAGAATGATTATATTTGACGCCTAAATAACAATACGGGATCTGAAATTTTAATCTACGTAATTGCACGTTAGATGTTTAACTGTCAAATTGTAATAATGACTCAATTATGATGTGTATCGCTGCAGGCGACGCGGCGGAGGTCCGCGGCCCGAGCGGTAGACACTCGTGCAGCGAATGCAGGCGCGCCACACTAGCTGTTGTGTTTCTATGGACACATGTTATAAGTGTGTAATACTTAACATTAGCATAACGAAATATTATAACGAATATTTAGCACTTCGGTGCCTCCCTAGTTACCTTACAGTAAGTAGCCTATACGTTTTTCCAGGCAATAGTTTATTCATGGAATATATTTCATCTAAATCCGTCCCAGTGTTTCAGTGTAAAGAAGTAGTACCAACGCAAATATTTCGCATTTTAATACTTCTATAGCCTAGGTATTGCTCGTACTTTTTGAAATAAAATTTCAATCGCACATTAATGTGAGAGCACTATTTCTCGAGTCACTTCTCTTTTTAACTCCTCCAGGTAAATTTCTAAGAAATTAATTGTTAATAGTAACACCGGTGGCCCGCGGTCGTTGAGGCAGTAGTACTTGAATAAGTGCGGACATCATCTGTAAAATGTAATAATATATAATAGTTTAAAATAATAAATAATAATAAATAAAAGTTTATTAGCAATAAGTTTTGACACTAAATTTACACTAAGCGCAAAATAAAGCTTATTACAGTTTATGTTACTTACATCGGTTTGTCACTGACTGTACTAGGCCGAGCCTGTATTACAGACGACAGTTCCTTCCTCTATGACATAAAAGAATTATCACTAAATTATCATTAGACATTATCACTCATATATTTAATTAAAAAACCACACAATAATAAAATGACATTACAAGGTCAGTTATACATTAAAGTTTTAAACTTATTAATATTTTTTTACAATTACCGCCATAATAGTAAATTGTAAAAAGTGTAAAATGTGGTAAACATCGTCAATTATACAATTTCCTGCTGTGCTTCTATCGCTTTTAAGTTGCTAAGTAAGAAATATAAATGACTTGTCAATGTTGTACATAAATATTATTAGAATTAAGGTCATAGATAATTTTAATTCCAACCATAGAGAAGATGCGAGGATGTAGTTTGGAAGCCACGGATGGTAGTTAATAAAAGCATATTTGACATATTGGAAAAAGCTCTAAATGTCACATTTGGCTAATTTCTTACACAAATTATATAAGAAATATATTATGCAAAGTAAAACTGCCGTCTGGCCATTTGTTATTTTAATAGACATAGCCATTAAAGAAAATAAAAGCATTTAGATATTTTTTTTTAATTTATTATTTGTGACAACATTATAACTTCTTTAGAATCAACTTTAAATTCAATACGAAATTAAGATATCAAGTTAAATGAAAAGATAGATAATAATGCGAATGTTAAGAAAGTAAAGTACATTTATATAATATATATAGTTTTTACACAACACAAATTGGCGCCTAATATTCGCCATTTTGATTTTTAATAATATCCATATTAGTCTACAATACTGACGTTATCAAGAAAGCTAACAATTCATCAATAATTAATTTTTTTGGTTATTATTGCTTAAGCCATTTAGTATTTACGAGATACGTAAATACAGGTCAAACACATAGGTTTATGTATAACCTTTGGACTCCCTGGAGTCCCTGGAGTCGGGTAAAAATA